TAGCGACGCAGTCAACTTCAATCATGTGGGCTATAGTCTCCGACTGTAGAGCCACCGCCTCTTCAACCTTAAAGATCATGTCGTCTGAGCTTTTTAAAACAATCTTCTTCGTCGACGTCAACATAGTTCGCTCTTTGTGGGGAAATTGATGAAAGAAGTTATGAATTAGAATAATGTGGTGAATGACACGAAGTATGCATCTCTCTATTTATAGGATATCTAGTCGGTGGTTTTGTTCAAAGTTCTAACATGATTAGGAAATATGAAAATCAACATATTTTGTGTTTGACCGTTTAAGAAAATGAAATGTTATTATTTTGTGTTTGCTGATTCTGAAAAAGGAAAAAAAAAATAGAATGCGAGAACAATGTCTCTAAGGTTGAAAAAAGTCAATAATATGTTGCAAAGCATCTTCAGTTTACAGAAAGGTTAATTAATGTATATTAATTAGTCAATCTCTCAATTATTACAGTGGCTAGAGTTTATTTACATGCAGAATTCATCTTTGTTAAAAGTACAGCCAAAACACATACATATTTTAAACATAATTTATTAATTAATTTGGGTTACTAATACCAACATTACATTTTTCAAGAAGAAGTATGTTTCTTCTTTGCCGCTACGATGATGGATAATGTTGATAACGAGGATACGAATGCAAATCTAAACCATCCAGCTTCTCCTTCACTAGTACTTTTTTTATAAACATTTCAAGATTTTGACGACACAACACAAAAATGGTGTGTAGGCTAGGTGTAGTAATCGAACCAAAACAGCTAAAAATCAAGTCAAAACATCAAGAGATAATTTAAAACTACAAATTAATACTTGATAAATTAATAATCACTATGGAAATTGTAATTAATAATCACTATAAATTAATAATTTTTGCCGGTCCTAAGACGGGCCAGTGTATTAATTGACAAAATTCGATAAGATAATAAGATAATACTTTTTTGAAAGTTCTATGTAAAAATATGGTCTCAATAATAATAAAATTAATAATTATACATTTACGTATATATTAATAATATAATATAATGAACTATGATAATATTGTTGTTTTAAGTTTATAAAATTTGTTTGATTTATCTTCTAATTTTTATTATTATGACATTTTTTAAATGAATTTTACATTGTTGAAAATATTGATTTTGTTTTTTATGAATATTAAAAATTCAAGCTAAAAACATCTCTATTAATTAATCAAACATTACTTTATCAATAAACTAATAATTTATCTATTAATTAATAACTCAATAAATCTCCTTTAAATAAAAGGGATAGGTTTTCTGCTCTCTAAGGAGTGCCACATAGGCAAAAATAATCAGCCAATAAAAATATAACAAATTGCTTTATCGTTAAATTACAAAAAAAAACTAACCAATAAGAATAAAACAATATACCACATCAGAAAAAATAATTAACCAATGGTAGATTTCAAAACTGCTATGTCATCTTCTCTAACCAATAATTTAAAGTCATTTTATTAAATAATTTATTAATCAAAATTTCTTCAAATTTTACCTAAAAAGTTTTAATAATTCTTAAATTCTCAATAAAAAACAAAGCTAAAAAAACTGAAAACGAATTACACTAAAACTCAATTATAAAGCTTAAACAAAAGCTTATTTTATGGAGTCATCGTTTTCTTGGTTTCCAATCATCTCGCATCTGACTCACCAGAAACGGAATCAGCAAATTTTACTTATTAATTAATGACAACCAAACTGGTGATAAACAATAAAACTTAAATAAATAGAGCATAAATATTTGGAAATCCAAAAGACATAGCAATTAGGATGTCAAAAAAAAAAGGATATAGCGATGAGCCACATATGGTATAAATAATACACAACTCTATCACAAATGAAGTCTAATGTGTCTCATGCTTGAGATTGTTGTAAGCACCATAAAAATACAATCTCACAACTGTTTTGTATTTATATTTTTAATGTGAATCAAGTAGAATGAGTCTGAATCATAGTATTGTTGGAACTGGAGAACGTTTTTCTCGCCAAAATTAAAACTTAAGGAGCGACTCAGTTTTCTTTCGTCTAGAGAAAATTAATTTATACAATTGTAACTTTTTGACTTATAACAGATTTCAAGTTTCTAAAGCTGATATAGAGTTCCATATTGTTCGTTGTAATCCGATATTGTAGAAAAACTAAAGTAAAAACATAACTAAAGAACCGGTGATTAAAGATAGTTACTCACCGTTTTTTAATTTTTATTTGCAAAATTTCATGAAACATAAAACTGAAAAGATATTTTTTTCAAATAACATATAACGATAAATTTCATGCTCTTCACCAATATTGGCAAATGATTGAGCTAGCTAAATTATCAAACAAATATTATATCAATCAATAAAGAACTCATATAATAAAAAAGTTTATTATTAATTGTGATTTATTTTCTTCGTTGAATATATGAACTAATTATAAAACATCTATGTACATACTGAATCTTAAAAAATTGATAAGTAGAGAAATGCATACTATATGAAAATTAAAAACAAAATCCTAATACACAATATGAAACAAAAATGGAGTAAGGATTGAGTTTTTTCTTTTTAAAAGCATCAAGCGAAAGGGAAGCTTGTGCAAAATATTTTTGAAAGTATAAAAAAATAGACATGGTGTTCACTAAAGAAATAACATTATAACATAAGATGTCCATATTTAGTTCATGTAGATACTATTTACATAAACAAAAATATAACAAAATTACAAATCAAATTATTATACAAAAATGTCAAACTCTACCCTTCTTATTTGCAAAAACATGCATTAACTCTTAAAAAAAGTTTAACTAAGCCAAAAGGTATATTAATCTATTTTCAAATTATTATACAAAAATTTCGATCATCTTTTCAGACATATATATATATATATATATTCTTCTAATACTTACTTCGCTCGATTATATCTAAGAATCACATGCAAATATACTACTCTATAATTTATCACAATATTAAACACAAAATTAATTGATAACCTTTTATAAAAATACAATATAACTATACAATCCACGCGTAGCATGGACAAAACACTAGTCATATATATATTTAGAAAGTTATCTCTCCATCTAAGGTGTCCACATCAGCAAAACAATTATTTTAAAATAGGCTTTTAAATATTTTGGGTTTTGTTTTTAGAGTTTGGGTGTTTATTTTTGGGCTTTTAATATGATTAATTTGAAATTAAAAACAAATACTTATTTTACAAATCATAAAAATTACAAATTCTTAATTTGTGAAAATGAGTTTGGAAGGCAACCAAATATAAAAGATTACAAAAAATAATTACCAAACTTTATAAAGAAAATTCTTAGAAATATTATATATAAAGCTAAAGTAACTGTCAAAAAATAATATGTAAAGCTAAAGTAAATTCATCATATAAAACAAATACTTATTTTACAAATTATAAAAACTACAAATTCTCTTTGAAATAAAAAAAATTCAAAATTTTATTTAAATATTAACAAACAAAATTTGAAGAAAAAAAAGTTAGAAAGTGAACAATTACGAAAATGACAGAAAAACTTGTTAAGAATAGTTATCAAACTTATTTAAAAAGTCTTAGAAATATCAATGCTTAAAACTAAAGTAAAATCATTCATATCTACTTTACTGTGTAAAGTGAATGAAAGTTTTTGATAAATAAAGAAAAGTAAAATGTTTAATTATATAGCATAGAGATGAATTTGATTTATACGACGAAAGAGGAAAAAAATTGCAAATACTTATCAACCATCATTTCTTAATGATGACAATATAAAATTGATATTCAATCACTTTACTCATCAGCCAGATAATATATGGGTTTTAATATAAAATGTATAAATAAACAAAAACAAGACTATTGGTTATAAGTTTTAACATAGTCATACTGTTTACACTCACATGATATGAAAATAGACAAAAAAATATTCTTATACACATTCATAAGTATAGTCAAGTAGTTCATCATTGAAAAAGAAAAACTCATCAAATCAATTAAAATCAACAATCTATCAAGTAAGCATAATTTTTTGATACAAAACCCTTCAAACATGTAATAATTAAAATTCTCCTTATTTAAAGTTATAACTGATCACATAACTGAATGAGATAGAAGCTTGCATAAAATAAGAGAAAAACTAGTAGATTGCAATCAGAATAGCGAGACTAAGAGCTATAAGAAAGAGGAAAAACAAATAAAAAACTAATTATGCTTGAAAATGAGTTAGATTTTTTGAAAATCGATAAAAAAATTATGGGAACATTTAGTTTAAAGTAGAAAAGGAATGATGATGATTTTATTTTGTTGATATATGAAAATAAGATGTAGAAAAAGATGAGAAATCAATTGAATACAAACAAACAAGAAAAACACATATAATACTTATTGCAGTGTGTAAATATATGAAATATTTTTGTAAAAATTAATACATCATAATTTATATTAGAAAAATGTTTTTACAGTATATATATATACATATATATATATATTAGGACAACAAAAATACTTAAAATTAAAAGACAAATATAACACATAATATTATTAATTTAATAAATATATATAATAGTAATATATTTTTTAATTAAATTAATAAATAAGTCTGCGCAATGCACAAATAAAAATCTAGTTAATAAAATTTGAAAGTCCCAACATTATTAATTTATAGAGGTTTTATTATATTTTGTCATATCGATTTAATTTTGTTCATTAATGTTTTTAGTCATACAAATAACGTTAGAGAAATTAACCAAAAATTTATTAAAAATAATAACTTTAATTATTTAAGTATATGGAAAAATACATGTTTTAATACTGTAGACTTACAAGCCTACGATAACCGAACCAAAAGAATTTGAATTGAAATCACAATCCGAATCTAACGAAATTAAATACTTAAAAACCAAATGCCGACGCGGCAAATATATGAGACCGGACGGACCGGTTTCGACCCGTTTCGAAAGGCAAAAAAAACTAATCTGGGTCAAACCAATGTTGGTATGGTTACAAAAAACCTTGACGCACACGCAGATCAAATACCATAAACCTTCTGTCTCTGATTCTTCGTCTTCTCCGTTTTTCCGCTTTCGGTTTCGTAAACCCTTTTTTGGTCTCTCTTTATCGAACAAAAAAGTTCTTTAGCGATGGCGGGCCTTGCACCACCGAGCTCGACGGCGCAAAAGACCAGAGTTGACGAGAAAGTGGATTACTCAAACCTCCCTTGCCCTCTTCCCTTCGATGAAATCCACCGTGAAGCTACGAGTTCAGTATTCGACACACACACACACACACACTCCTTCACTAGCTATCATCAACTGTTTCATATCTGAGTTCCCTGCGTTTTGGTTATCTTTATTCCACTTACATTCTGCGATCACAATCTGTCTGCCTCTGACGTGGGTTTCTCTGGTTTCTTGTTGTCTTTTATGTTTGTGATTCAACAAATTATATCACTTTTAAGATTGTGGAATCTGTAACCTTTCTTTTTTATTACAGTGAATTTTCTTATAACCTATTATATTTGAGCTGCTTTCTTGTTAATGGCTATTCATATTTTGATTTGGGTTGATTTTGCTATGGTGTTGAAGTATTCTTCGTGTTTTGCTTTCTTGGATGTTTCTGACTAGTTTGATTTCACTTTGCAGTGAATTTGAATCCAGAACTATTTGAGGGTTTTCGCTTTGACTTCAACAAGATCTTGAACCAGAAGTTTTTTCTCAGTCATAGGTTACTCTTAAGCTTTGCTTAATTTAGGTATTTTTAAATTTTTTTCATCAATGAAACATCATTCTTATTTAAATGTGTATTGATGTTACAAACAGAGTATCGATGGGGGCAACAGAAGTTCCTACTCAATCATCTGAAATAATCAAAATTCCAACTGCTAATTATGAATTTGGTGCAAATTTTATTGACCCAAAGGTATCTTGTTGTAATCATGTATACTTTTTTTTGTCAGCAATCAAGAAGCTAATAACATTGACAAAACTTGTATACAGTTGATGCTTATCGGAAGGATCATGACGGATGGTAAACTAAATGCGAGAGTCAAGTGCGATGTAACTGATAATTTGACCATAAATGTTAATGGTCAGGTAAAACCGTAAAAAACAATGTCGCAACCGTACGTAAGATATAGTAGGCCTGGGCATTCGGATATTCGGGTCGGTTTCGGGTCAGATCCGATCGGTTCCGGTACTTTCGGGTAAGAGAATTTTATATCCATAGAGCTACTGAAAAGATTTCGATTCGGGTACGGTTCAGTTCCTGTCGGTTCCGGGTTAGTTCGGTTCTTAAATTTTAGAACCGTTTAGTTTCCGAAAAAATCAGTTTTTTATAATTTTTGGTTCGGTTCTAGTTTTTTATATCCGATTAGACCCGAAATCAGTGAAAAAGTAACCATATACCCGAAATGTAACCAAATACCCGAATAAAAATTGAAATTTTCAAAAAATACTGATATTTTTCGTTAACTTGTAAATTGATTTCCGGATTGAATATATTTCAGAATCGATAACGAACAGAAGTTCTGAATAGTTGACTGCGAGACCTACGAAACGGTATGTAGATCGACATCTGGGTCCATCTGGTTCAACGGGAAATTTCTCTACAAACTCTAAGTGTATAATTTCGGTTTAACCGATTGGGTATCGGGTAGGAACCGGAACCGACCCGATACCCATGGTTCTTAAACTTAATACCCGTTGGGTAATTTGATAATAACCGAACCCGATCCGAACCGGTATTTCGGGTCGGTTAGCGTCTGCTCTTTGTTATATTAGTAGCTCCATAAACATTCTCCGTGTTTTTTTTTTGCCAGTTGACAAATGAAAAAGATCAATCGCATGGCGTGTTCTCTTGTGATTACAAGGTGAGAAAGTTTTCTGTATTTAATATGTTTATCTCTGTGTGTAATGCACCTTTTGACTTTGTTTTGTTCGTTTAACGATATATAGCGGTTTTTACATATCTTTTTAGGGTTCAGACTACAGAGCCAAGCTTCAGTTTGGAAGCGGATAACTTTTCGCAGCTAACTACATTCAGGTAAAACAAAATTACTTAACCTGTTTTATCACGTAATGTTTTGTTACGACATAAGAAACTCTTTTATTATTCACTAAAAAATTACTTAACCTGTTTTATTACATAATGTTTTGTTAACTACAGAAAACTGAATAATCAAATTCTGTTTTTTGAAGCATGTGACACCAAACCTATCTATGGGTGGTGAGGTTTTATGGACTGGTGAGCAGCGGAAATCGGCTGTTGATTATGGAGCTCGTTACGTGACTGATAAAATGGTTAATATTTTTTCTTATTTCTTAGTCAGAAAGTGTGAAACGATCACAAGAACTTATCCTTTTATTTTTCTTTTAAAATATTATATATTATAAACAGGTTGCATCTGGAAAAGTTGCTTCCAGGACAAGTTGCTTCCACTGATATGGCTATAATGAACTATGTTCATAAAGTTTCAGAGAAGGCTAACATTCCGATTTCATCTTTAACCCTATTAGAGTTTAGATGATAAGCTGTAAAAAATCATCACATTCTTTCTTTTTTTTGTCCATCATCAGGTCTCACTTGCAACAGAGTTTATGTACAATATAAAGTCGAGAGATGTTGTAGCTAGTGTTGGGTATGACTACATTCTTCGACAGGTACTTAACTACTTCTTTCCTTTGTAATTGTTCCATTGGAGTTAGAAACAATAAGCAAAAGTCTAATGGTGTTTGGTTTTAGTGTCGACTAAGAGGAAAGATTGACTCTAATAGTGTTACATCTGCTTACCTCGAAGAATATTTGCCTATTGCTGGTAATGTTGGACTCCAGTTTCTTCTATCCGCAGAGGTAAAGAAAATTTACTTATTACATTTTTATTAGTGCTTTCCCTAATGATTAATACAGGTGGATCATGTGAAGAAGGATTACAAGTTTGGTTTCGGTGTTACTCTCAGTTAATTCTATGATAGTCTTCGCAATTAGTTTAAGCCTCAACATTCTCGGTTATTTTCTTGGATGTTACATTTATATATATATATATATATATATATATATATATTTTATTTTTTTTTCTTCCTCAGAGATAATATAGTTTTTTTTTGTTTTGGAACATTATCATAGATAATATAGTTAAGAAATTCTTGCTTATGTGTATATACTCTCAAAAGAATATAAAGCGGAGGAGGTTTTGTTTTTTTTTGAGTGACAAGATAATTAAACTCCACAAATTATATAAACCAATAAGCATTAAAAATTAATTTTGTAGGATCTAAAAGTGAAAACCATAAATCGTAGTAAATCCTAACTATTAATAACGTTACTTCTAAAACCAAAAAGAGAAATATACAAAATAAGTTGAATTAAACATGTGCAGCTTTCTTGTTGGGCCCGGTGACGTATTGACTAATATTATTATTATATTAACGTCAAACTAATTATTATTGGGTTGACTGCATATAGCCCCCTCTATAATACAGCTTCTACCTAAATCCCCCCAAATTCTTAAGTTCATGATATTCCCCTCCAAATTATCATATTTAATCATATTTTCCCCCAAACTTTGTTTTTCTGCTCAATTCCACCTGAAAAGCTAAAAGCACCTGAAAAGCTCGGATTTTCTATACCAATCAGTTCTAGGTTCAGATAAAATCGATCAAGCAACCTAAACGCTATTTGTTGATTTGATCGCAATTTTGTGCTTTTAGCTTTTCAGGTGGTATTGAGCAGAAAAACAAAGTTTGGGGGAAAATATGATTAAATGTGATAGTTTGGAGGGGAATATCATGAGCTTAAGAATTTGGGGGGATTTAGGCAGAAGCTGTATTATAGAGGGGGCTATATGCAGTCAACCCATTATTATTTGAGATTTTGCTCGTTTTTAAAATGATCTGAGAGCGTATCTATATGATTCAGTTTCTCTCCGTTCAAAACGGCGCCGTTGTGTCTGTTTGTTTTTCTTCGGTCAACTTGAAAACCCTATTGATCTTAAACAATTGGCTTCGAACACTCTTTTTCTCCATTTTTACTTCTCCTCTGCTCACAGATTCACGCCTCGCGCCCCAACCTCCCAATTCTCTTTCTCCGATCACCGTTTTCTTCTGTCGTGTTCTTAGGGTTTCTCATATCGAATTTCGGATTTTGATTGTATAATCCCGCCATTGCATGCTGTCGTTCTGTTCTTCGGATTACTTTTCTGGGTCTCTGAAGAAATCTTCAATTGGAGTTTTGTTGATTCACGCGTAGAGTCTCGATGATCGCCCACTGCCAAATTCATCAGACATTTACACTGTTTCTAAGCCACCGCCCACTTGAAATTCTCTGGTTATTATGATTGTTTATTTTCGATTGTATCGGGGCCAAAGTATGTATCTTTATTGGTAATTACGGTTGTTTATTTTGATTTTGGAAGATTGACCTCTCGATTCTTGAGATGGATTCCGCTATTGACATAAGTTCAGATAGTGATGTCGAGATACAAGAGACTAGAACCAGGCCTCCTCTTCCTCCTCCACGCTTAGCTCAAGGTTTAACATTTCTGACCCATCAATTGTGTTTTTGTTGTGAAGTTGAATTTATTAGCTTTATAGACTTATTGATGATATTTGGTTCTGTGTTTTATTGACATAGCAGGCTCTCATAGAAGGGATCTCTCTGCGCTGAGACCTCACCATCCACATTTTGCCGGAAATGGGCACATAGGAAGTTCCAGAACTCCCAATGGCGATTATGAGAAACTTTCATCTCAACAAGGTGTTAAAAGGATACGTACTCCATCTGTTAGTCGACCTCCTATGCCTTTGAGACCTGATGGCGTTACAAGTAACGGGCATGCGAGTCACTTTCGTGGGGATTATAGTAATCCAGCTGCAGCCAACAATGGTGGAGCACATGATGGGATAGGCATGGGGCGTGTGATCAATGGCGCCCGGATCCTGCCTCCATCGGTCGCACATGGAACAGCTGCTTCTACTTCACATTTTAACGGTTCAAGTGAGCCACTGCACAGGAATGGCGTAGGTGAAGATAGGGGTTCAGAGAATGACGAGAGGCTCATCTATCAGGCTGCACTACAGGTGTTTATTGTTACCTCAATGTTTTACTTGTGTGCAATTCTGGTCTTTGTTTGCAATGCACTTATCTCTTTCACCTGCTTTGTGGTCAGTGGTAGTGAACTGGAGCAATGAACTAATGGAATAGGCTAGTTTTTTTTCCTTGTTAGTTATATGTCAGAGATGAATAATTAATTTCTTTAGGGTTCGGATGTCTCAAATTCTCAATGATACTTGAGACAGAGTAACATGCTTGCTAAATCTCTCAGTTTTAGACTCTGTGTGTGTGTGTGTTTTGCTTCCTTTCTGAGAATCGGTTAATAATATGTAAATCGTCACTTTTTTAGCATTCTGAAACAATCTTTTGTTTCATACGATTCATCAAGGTTGTTATTTCCATTTTAAGAGTTTGGTGTTTCTTCATAATCGCCCTGATATGAGTAAGTGCTTAAAATTGTGATAATCAAGTATACATATTTCCTGCAGAATCTGAATCAACCAAACTCCGAGATCGATTTACCTCCCGGTCTTCTCTCAGTTCCCCTTATGAAGCATCAGGTATTCGTGTTTTAGTTCATCTTTCAGCATCTGTTGAAATGGCGTTGTGTACTAAACACTGTTGTTGTTTCTCAGAAAATTGCATTGTCATGGATGTTTCAGAAGGAAACTAGAAGTGCGCCCTGCTTAGGAGGGATATTAGCTGATGATCAGGTTACTTTTAATCGTAATTATTTTCTGCTAAAGTTATACTATGTTTCCCTCAAATCCATTTGCTTTGCTGTGCAGGGCCTTGGTAAGACAGTGTCGACTATTGCTCTTATCCTATTGCAAATGCACGAGGCAAAACTAAATTCTGAGAATATAAGCAATCAAGTGTCTGAAGCACTGGATCTGGATGCGGATGATGAGTCAGGAAATGCATTTGAGAAACCAGAGTCTAAGGCTTCAGTTGGTAATGGCTTGAATGGCATTTCAGGCATAAAGAAAGCCAAGGATGAAGAAGCGAGCACTTCAACACGGAGATTCAAAGGGAAAAGACCAGCTGCTGGCACTTTAATTGTTTGTCCTGCAAGTGTTGTGCGGCAGTGGGCAAGAGAGCTTAATGACAAGGTCACCGATGAAGCCAGACTTTCTGTTTTAATCTACCACGGTGGTAACAGGACCAAAGATCCTATTGAGCTAGCAAAATATGATGTGGTTATGACAACTTACGCGATTGTTTCGAATGAAGTTCCAAAGCAACCCCTGAAGGATGACGATGAGAATGATGAGAGAAATGGCGAAAAATACGGTCTCGCCTCTGGCTTCTCTACCAATAAGAAGCGCAAAGATGAATTGGGTGCTACTAAGAAAAGTAAGAAAAGAGGTAAAAAAAACGCTGGCGACTCTTCATCCGAAACTGACTGTGGCACTCTAGCAAGAGTTGGGTGGTTTAGAGTTGTACTAGATGAAGCTCAGACAATTAAGAATCACAGAACCCAGGTGGCAAGAGCATGTTGCGGTCTTCGAGCCAAAAGGAGGTGGTGTTTGTCTGGAACCCCGATACAGAATACCATAGATGATTTATATAGTTACTTCAGGTTTCTAAAATATGATCCTTATGCCGTGTACAAGTCATTCCAAAACACAATTAAGGGTCCAATTTCCAGAAATTCCCTACATGGTTACAAGAAGCTTCAAGCTGTTTTAAGAGCTATAATGCTGCGCCGTACCAAAGGTACTTGGACTGTCTTATCAAAATGTTTTAAATGGTTGGATTGGTGATGGGCTTGACTTCAGAACAGCCTGTCATAGACTTTCTGATTATTTCTGCCAGTCTATTTCATACTGTATAATGAAAATAGTTGTGAGTCTAGTCAAGCTGTCGCCTGATGGTAGTTTTCTAACGATAACTATAATATTCAGTTTGTTCATTTTTCGTTTCATTTTGCTCTGATCTTTTCTTTTATATGATAGATTTCATGTCGTTTTATCTTCTTGCATAGCTGTGCTGCTGTTGCGAGTTTCTGTTAATATTTATCGTCTGGTCACTATCTAGGAACATTGCTTGATGGTCAGCCTATAATTAATCTACCACCAAAGACAGTCAATTTGAGCAAGGTGGACTTTTCGGCAGAGGAGCGGTCTTTCTACACGAAGCTTGAATCCGCTTCAAGGTCTCAGTTCAAGGTCCTCTTTCTGCGCTTTCTCCAAACTATCTGTTCATCCTTGGTTTATAGTTGTGATCTGTACTTTTTTGGAAGATAAGATACTTATGCAGTAACTATCAACTCAATGTGATATATAAATATTAATTCGTGGTTATGGAGAGTTTACATTGAAGAAACTGTTTTGTAGTGGTTCCTGTCAAGTTGGTAAGATGATATTTCTTTCTCTGCAGGCATATGCTGCTGCAGGAACTTTGAATCAAAACTATGCAAACATTCTTCTCATGCTTTTGCGATTACGCCAAGCTTGTGACCACCCCCAACTTGTTAAAGGACATAACTCAGATTCAGTTGGAAAAGAATCAGAAAAAGCGGCTAAAAGGCTTCACAGGGAGGTGAAAGTTAGCTTGCTCAATCGCTTACAATCATCTCCCATTTGCTGTGTCTGTAGCGTAAGTGCATAATAATATTTTAGTTTTAGAAATAGTGTCTCTCACCATCTTCTAGTTCTGATTTACTTGACCCATGTCTTCTGTCTTCTTGTCTTTTTGCAGGATCCACCAGAAGACCCTGTAGTTACTTTGTGTGGCCATATATTCTGCTACCAGTGTGTATCAGATTATATAACAGGCGATGAGAACACGTGCCCTAGCTGCAGAGAACAGCTTGCGCATGATGTTGTTTTCTCTGAGTCTACTCTTAGAAGATGCGTCGCTGATGATATGGGTTGTAGTTCTTCAGATGATAAAGTTCCTGATAAAGCATTTTTCCAGAATGGGGAGTTTAGCTCATCAAAAATCAAAACTGTCTTAGAGATTCTGCAGTCGCTTTCTAACCAAGGCAGTTCCAACTCAACGCAGCACGGTCGAATCTCTTCTTCCTCGCAGCCAGATGACGACGATGATGTTACCATTGTAGAGCAGGCGACTCGGCGCTCAACTCCTTCAAACAGAGAGCCAATCAAAACGATTATCTTTTCTCAGTGGACTGGTATGCTTGACTTACTCGAGCAGTCTCTAATTGAAAACAATATAGAATTCAGAAGATTAGATGGTACCATGAGTCTATTAGCGAGAGACAGAGCTGTGAAAGAATTCAGCAACGATCCAGATGTGAGTCATGTGCTTATCTTCAAAATTATCTCTCTCCTTCCACAATTTTTTCTGAAAATGTGGAACTTTGTGATGTTTCCCTCTTTTATATCCTGCAACTCTCTAAACAGTGCAAGGTTTCTTAAACAGGTAAGAGTGATGATAATGTCTTTGAAAGCTGGAAACCTTGGGCTGAATATGGTGGCTGCATGTCATGTCATTCTTCTTGATCTTTGGTGGAATCCAACTACGGAAGATCAAGCTATTGATCGAGCACATCGTATTGGACAAACTCGACCCGTTACTGTTACTCGTATGACGATAAAAGATTCTGTCGAGGATAGAATATTGGCTCTCCAGGTATATGCCTTAAGATCCATCTATATATTTCCTTCTAGCTGTACCTGTTTCCCCCTAAGTTTCTCAGTTCTGTGTTTGCGGTTTTTGTTATTATTCAGGAAAAGAAAAGGGAAATGGTTGCTTCTGCCTTTGGTGAAGATCATGGTGGAAGCTCTGCGACTCGACTAACAGTAGATGATCTCAGATATCTATTCGAGGTGTAGACAACTTTCTAAATATCTCGTTGACCAAGTTTCACTTTCCAGAATTTTGATCATGAAGAAATCTTGAGCTGCATTTTTTCTGTTCTTCAGGTTCACTGATTTGAAATGAGCAAATATATGTAAATAACTCCTGTCTTTTCATAGTATATACATCAGACTCGCTTTGGAGATTGCTTGTTGCCTCATTGTAATCTAAATATATACACCAACTTAATTATTTACATACACACACAAATGAGAAAATCATGTGCTTATAGACAGTCGAATACTGGTCTCTGCAACAGTTAAGAGTGTGTGAGATCATGAATTTGTTAGTATACATTCATAATCAAAGCCTTGGACTATCGAAGAGCTTTAAAAACTGAAAAGGCATCATTCATTATATGCAGAGGCAGTAGAAGCATTTGCCAAAATAGCATAAAGAGACAGAAAGTCACAATCACAAAACATCTAAGATTGTGTCCCTACGTATACAAAAGACAGGGACTCTGCTCATAAACAAAAGAGAACACACAAGACAAGTCATTCACTTTCTGCATCTCCAAGATGATACCGAGTATAGAGGTCGATCTTGCCAGCAAATCACTGCGCACCCGCTCTCTTCTTTGATCCTATACCCATCAAAACCGTATCCCTGAAGCAACCTCCTGGCCTGCAACATCGCATAATAGCTAAGAGGAACATTCCCAAAACCAGCCAATTCTATTCTCTGGCTCCATTTCTCGAGCTTCTCATGTCTTTCTCTTCTCTCTGATCCTTCGCAGGCTATGATGTTCTTGATCTCCTCTCCAAAAAACATCTTCTCCACTTTGATTCTATCTTGAGACGTTCTTGGAACCTTTGTTTCCAAGCAATCAAACAAGGCTGCGTAGGTGTAGAGTGACTCTAATAGTCTCTCCATTAGCGTGGAGCCGTTGTGGTCTGAGTCTTGCTCAGTGACCACCATGATCTTTGGAGACAAACCCCAAATCGCGTTGAGGAACCTATCGATCCTTCCTGAGTTAGAGAGAGGCAAAGACGAAGCGGAGTCACCGCTCGGGCTATAACCATTGTTGTTGCTCATATCATTCTCAGGTGCCTCTCCTGCAGAGCCATGGCTCATCGTTAGAACTCTCTGCAAGTCAATCCCATTGGGATTGTTCTGAAACCGTAAACCGCTGTTCTTTCTCATGAAATCATCATCCGAGGCCAAGAAGTTGTGCAACTGAAGAACCGAGCTGACGGCTAAGGCCTCTCCTGTCTTAACACGCAACTGCTCAACGTTTAAACACTCTAACGTGCTCAGAACGGGATTAAACTGAAACGGGATATCGAGTTTCTCTGCTTCCTCGATGAGTCTATGAGCCATTTGATCAAGCACTTCCTTCTGGTGATGAACACCAGTGATTCTCAGATGCGGTGGACCTTCAGGCCTAGTGTTGAAAGCTTGGATCAGAGCAAGCCATTGTGCCGGCTCAGAAGCATGGAGATCAATCACATGAACCATCTTCTCTCCTTCCATTGCCTCGATTATAGCTCGATTAGTGAGCAAGTAAGACACTTTGAGTATAGGGAACATATCAAAGAACAATCTCCTGACATGAATCTCCTCAGAGACATTGTTGGTCCTTGTCTGAGTGGCGTTAAGAGCCTTGTAGAGACCAGGCCATGACTTGAGGATTCTGATAGCGAGTGCTTCGGTGAAGTAAGCAGCGATCCGCTGCATCGTGTCGCCGTCAGGGGAAGCGAGGTGAGAGAGCTGCTCGAGTGCCGCGTTTGCGTTTTGGAGGCTACCGGACGCCACGTGGTTGGCGCAAGTTAGCAAGAGGTGGATCAAGTAGAGACCACGCTCCTCTGGTTTGAGGTCTTTGAGACAGTGTAACGGTGAAGAAGAAGCGAGGAGAGTTGGTCTTGTGAGTGACATCGTTGAGAAGACTTGAAGTGGCGATGAAGCTACAGAAGATGTTCCATTATCTTCTTGAAACATAGCCACCATTGAAGGCCAAAACGAGAATCTAGAACAAAGCTTGATTCTGATTTGCTCAGAAAATTAAAAGTTTGGTCGTTTGTAAGGAAAAATTGGAACTTTGAGAGACTCGCAACGGGAAGAACCAACCCAAAGATTCGAAATTTCTTCAAAGATCCAGAGAATCTGCAGATTAACAAAAGGGGGAAAATGGTTAAAGAACAGAGGAACTAGGGTTTAATTTTTTTTGATGCAGAAAGTACAGAATTTTAAAAATCATCAAATACATATTATATTTGTGGATGATTCTAAGACAGAATAAGAAACACAAAAGCTGATTGAATCTGTCTGAATATGAAGAAGAAAGCAAGTCTCTTTATAAGCAAGAACATGAAAGAAACAAAAACTAGCTATGATCAAAGAACAATAACCAGGAAAATGAAAACTTACTGGCTTTTGCATCGATGGAAAGAAAAACCCACATGAATTTTTAAGAAAATATTTAAGCTTTTTTTGTTGTTCTGTTTGGTTATCTCTATGTATCTAATATATCTAATGTTGTAAGAAAGAAGAAGTCTCTGGTGGTTATCTTGTGAGCATAGCGTTGTGTGTGTGTGTGGATTGTTGTATTTTAGGGAAAGGATTGAAACTAGAAAACACTAAAACAGAGGCATTGTTCCTTTTGGCTCTACGTACCAGACAATGCGTGATAGTCGGTTTTGTCTTCTTCCTCTTTGTCTTTTCTTTTTCCTCTTTCAAATCTCTTTCCTTCGTTTTAAGGAATTAATTAAAAGTGGTCAAATTTTCAATCCCATCGTTAACCTATATAGCTAATTCTGCACCGACTAATTTGATATCACAATTAGAGTCAATGTTTACAAAAGAAGTTTCACCTGTAACTTTCTTGATTTGAAATTAATTTCCCTCTCTGTGTTAGATTATGATATTTGATTTAGAGAAACTAGAAAAGATAAAAAGGAGAAATATGAGGCAAGAAGTTCAATGAACCCATTTTGTCATTATATATTTTGGAATTATCTTATTATATATACATACACCAATACAACATATATGTCTGTATTCGAGATTGGAACCTCCACTTTTATGGGTTTTTGTCGGGACATGAGGTGGATTTGGAATAATGACTATTTTTTATAATAAAAAGTAAATATAATTTGTTAAAGAAAAAAAGCTGTTTTGGTAAAATATGATTCTGAGACGACGGAAACGTCCAAACACGCCCTAACAAAGACAAAACATAACCCAAAAACCATCTCTTTTGTTTTTGTTGTCTTGCTAAAAAACTTTAAAAACATAAATAATAAAATAATAATAAAATGGAGATGAGGCTGAGGCTTGGGTGTGGGATTTGTCTGTCTTCTTTAAATGTTCATTGTCTTTTCATAACTTTTCATTTGTCCTTTTCTTCTTTTAAATGCTCACCTTTTGTCATTTTCTCCAAATTTTCTCTCTATTTGTTTTTACTGTGTGAGAACATAATCACATTTCAAACTAAAGACCATTGACCAAAGATTCTCTACAAAAGAATAGAAAATGTTTACTATTGAAACCTGATCATGAAGAATAGTAGTAAAACAGTATAAAATGAAAAAATGCATACCGAAATAGTTGAATTTGTAGTAGGAGGACATGTAACTTTGACTTAAAATTAGAGAATATTATAGTGAACCTCATGATTCATAATATTCAAACATAAATCACGATTTTGTGAAAACAGTGTCATTACTAGAATCGTGGCATCCTGCATAGTACCAATCAAACCTAAATCAATTGAGTCGAGTTGATTGTAAATGTGCGATCTGTGATTAAATTTACAAAATCGTAGTCAATGATGTCAAAATCATAATCGGTAGTTATAACTTCTTATACAACAGAACTGGCATAGTTTAAACGTATTTTAAACTTTGAAAAACGGAACAATCAAAATATAATACTAGTAAATAATACGGTAGGGCTAAATTTTAATTTAATCGTACACCTTACAAAAAAAATCAAAGCAACAAAGAAGTCTATTTTTGCCATTGGATTGTGGTTCCAACGTTGGAATTAACGAAACAACGCAGAGAAGAGAAGACGGTTCGCTTTGATACTATCAATAAATTCCAGGAATGATCCTGTATCGCACTTTCTCGCAATACAGCTTCCAATATTTCCCATACCTTACCACAATAAAACAGAGAAAAAAACAGCAGATCAACGTAAGAACAAAGAGAAAGTGTAATAAATTTATATATATTTTTTTAAAAAAATCATTCAGATTTGGTGGCTTACTTTGATCGGCATCGGTCATCGTCTCTCTTGGCTCGATCAAAGAGAAGAATGGTGAGGAATATGACGTAGAAGTACGGCAAGAACTGGTTGAAACAAAACAAAAAGTGAGAGAAAATATTTTTATAATAATGTGTCTCACTTGCAACAAAAGCTTTTAATACAGCAAAGAGATGGAGAAAGTATTTACGTCATTGAAGAGAGCCGGTACGGTCCAGAAGAAAGCACTTAAGATCTCAGGAACGTAATGAAAATGACGAGCCAATCCCCACCTGCATGGTCAATGTCATTGACCAATATCCTCGTGATGAACATGGTTGTTATAGCATTAGAAGTGAAGAATCAACTCACCATCCAGAGGTTAAGAGAAGACTGGTTTTAGTTTCACCAGCTGTTGTCGTATATGTCGCCATAATCTGCCACAAACCAAGAGAACAAAAGCTGTTCATACACATCGGAAGCTAACTCCACCATGCTTCTTATTATTATGATCACACACCTTTGACGGGGCTCTGCCCCAAACCGAGCATTTCCCATTTGTCCTCCTGAACTCTTGCCTTTGTCTATCGCAGTCATAGTTTATGTAAATGCAAAGAACTCCCGCAACCATAATGTATAATGCCAACTGCAAACCAAGGATGGAGATTGTGAAATCTAAATGACATTAATAGGCATGAATGTCCCAACTATTGTACCATCCATAAGTGTTTCCATGAACAACAATTCAAACATATTTTGAACATTCTATATTACAACTCTCTTCAATTACGAGACTTAAAAGTGCAATTTCTAGCATTTGAATACTTTAAGAAACCCAGATTACGGGATTGTCAAATTAAGCTTAACCGTTCTTGTTTTCTCTTTCCCATCAAAATGTTTCTTTAACGTTTTTCATGTATCTCTCTCTTCCTCTATATATTCAGCTATAAAAAGTTATTTTTTTGCACCTGAGTTCCAAGTTCGACGGGGTGGTTCACCAAGTACATGCCTGGAGAGGTATAAATAGAAGGCACCCACACCAGACAACCCCAGCATATATAGAAGCCAGCTGAAAATCACAAATTATAAAGCACAGAAGAAGTTAGCTTCGAGTCTGTTAACTCTGGAAATTATAATCTGAATCATATGCTGCTGCATTAACCATGTAAACAGAACCCACATAGAAATTATGGCCAAATCATAAAGCAACTTTTGTTGATAATGATGTACAAATTATGATTATGTGTACCAGAAGCATACCTCGGTCATGTGCGATGTCCATGGTGTTCCAGTAACCAGCTTCCCACCAGAAAAATTTCGTGACATACACCAGCATCAGTATCGTGTTCACCAGCATCGAATCAGATACTTTCCCATTTATTTCGTACTGGTTATGAAATAGTACAGGGGCCAAAAAATTGGAAGAGGTGAGGCTATCTGATCAAATAAGGACTCAAAGAAAAAACCTTCAGGTTGTGTCCTAAGAGTGTGGAAATTTATCTAGAAATTACCTGTTTGATGCAGTACGTGACTGCAAGAACTGCCCAAGACATCATACCAAATCTGCAATTAGTAAAAACCTTGATGTCAAAGTTCTTACCAATTCGAGGGTACAACTCCATGCCCTGCAATTGCAAAGCACGACGCAAAGAACACAGTGAGAATATTGCCACAAATTGGATTGTGTTAGTGATAAGCTGGACGCAAAGAGTGAGAGGAGATCTCATCTACAATCGTTATTTTAACTATTTGATACTTTATTCTTGTTCCACACCTTCTGACAGCAAACTAGTTCCCTTGTGTTTTAGTCAATTACATGAATAAATGCCGTTAAGAAGACACTGACATTTACAGGTCCACTAACAGAGGAACTTTACGAAAGCTTGACATCCATGTCTAACAAAGAGGCAATATATTCATGAGCAGATGGCTAACAATGGCAAGACGTGAGTTCCTTAAGCTAACCCAACTATAGTAATTTCGGAAAAAAATGAGAATCTGATCGGCAGAAACAACTCACCCAATAGAAGTCGATAATCAGGTTACCACATGAACCAGAATCACTTGATGAAGGCGCGACGTGACCCTTGGAAAAGACAAAAATACAAGTTTTAAAACAATAGAAGCCAAATTCTACATTACTAGACACTATGAAGAAAAAAGGAACACATTATTCATGGGATATACAACTTACTTTAACGTATAACAAAACACAAAACACGAAGCTTCCAAATATTAGTGCCGAGAATATTTCACCCAAGTGATCATAGACAATTGCAGGGCTGAATATCCCAAACCTGAATAACAAAAAAAAAAAAAAGTGCACTCATATAACTGCAATACTCAAACCAAACTAAAGTATGCCAAAAGAAATAAACACTCCTTACCACCAAAGACCAAGATATGTGGCTAGTGTCACAAAATAGGCAGCCAAACCATTAGCCTGTAAGAACAGAACCGCACAGTTGTTTGTTTGCATCAGCTTGCAGCAGACAAGACTAATCGAACTTATGTAAGGTCAATTTCAATTTTTATTACCTTGTAAACTGGTCGGTTTCCCGTTGGAGAAATCGGGCCCTCGACTCTTTTACCAGGAAGAAGCAGCTGAAGAGCAGCCTCGAATGCTCCATAGCAAAAAATGATCTTCCAAGCGATCACAGTGGGTCTTGGCCATATGTCGATGAGCCCTTTAACTCCATTCTCCCACAGAAAGCCAGAGGTCTGAACAACAGAACCATTCTGGTGAACCATTGTGTACCATCTGCATTACAAAGACATTGAAACTAGTTTACATTACTTGAAACAAAAAAAACTCACTTGAGAAATGATAGTCTCGGTGCTAACTAAACTTCAACAACAGATAGATAAATATTATGCTTCAAAGATCATAATGAAGTATGTATGAGTGAGTGGAGATAAGAATAGAAAAATAATCAATAATGGCCAAAAAAAAAATGTATGGACCCAACGAACAGATAAATGTTGCGGCTTCAAATCTACCATTGTTGCTTAATCTGGAAAATCAGAATATCTCAGTCAACGAGTAACGATTCCCATAACCGTGACAGTATGAGACCTAACATCTAATATATTCACCATTTACCAGAAAAATTTCATTGAATCGCATTTTATTTGGGTCGAAGATTCTTACGATTGGTTCTAAATGGAAAACGATTTGATGATATCGGCAATGAACTAAGGAAAATGTTAAATTGTGCGACCCGATCTGAGGGCTAGAAAAGAAAATGATGGAGCTTACAGGAGAATGACGAAAGGTGGGCATAAAGCGAGAAGCGATAGCATCGATGCGTAAGTGACGATCGGAGAATGCACAGTCTTCTCCGCCATTTTTTTTTTTTCCTTCTTCTTCTTCTTCTTCTCCTCTCTCGCTCGGCCTAAACCTTGATTGTGATCTGTGTTGTTTGACCCAGCGACTCTGCGAAGTTAACGATGAACTTCACAGGTCCACTCAGTACTAGAATGCAAATGTTGTAAAAAAAAATTCCACGTGTCAGGTGCTCCCCCATGATTTTTAAAATTCCACTTTTGCCCTCGGACTTTTCTTTGCCGTTGTTTCTCCGATCCCAAATCAATCCTCCTGGCTTCTCCTCTCTCGAAACTCGTAAAAGATCTTCTTCTCTGTATTCAACACAGTGATGAATCGAGACAATCGAATCCATCACTCCGAATCGCAGCTTTAGTTTACCAAACCTTGAGCTAACTACAAGAAATGCTTGGCTTGGAAGAAAATCCTCGAGAATTGGTTGATTTCGGGTAAGCCCCCTTATATCAAATTTTCCAATACTGGATCGAGTTTTCTGTCTGGATTCGCGTTTTCTCACAGATTTTTCAATTTCCTTATCTTTTAGTATGTTCAAGAGATGCAATTAGTGCCTAGTGATGATGATGATGGGAAGGAACAGGTTTTATTTGAAGAATCCACATCCTCGAACGAAATCGTAGCTGCGGAGAGAGGGGAGCGTGATGTGGAGGAAGGAGAGGTTTCAGAAATAGCAGAGAGTGATGACGAAACTACACATCTCGTTGCTGGAGATCAACCACAGTGTCGAATCTGCCTTGATGTTGGAGGTATAACAAAGGCTTTTCTTGTTCTCAGACGAGTGAGGATACGAATAATTTGGCATATACTGAGAAACGAGACGACGACTCTGTTTGTTCTGTCATTGCAGGGGAAGATCTGATTGGTCCGTGTAATTGTAAAGGAACTCAAAAATACGTGCACAGATCTTGTCTCGATAACTGGCGCTCGACCAAGGTAGTGATGATGGTGGTGTCATGTCTCGTTGCTTGAAAGTTTGTTCTTTCGTTGGCCTCATCTTGATTGCTTATGAGGTGTCTACAATATGTTTCAGGAAGGTTTTGCATTTTCGCATTGTACAGAGTGTAGAGCTGTGTTCAAACTCCGAGCCAACGTGCCTCCTGATAGATGGTGGTTGAGATTGAGATTTCAGCTGCTGGTTGCTAGAGATCATGCATTCATCTTCATTACTGTCCAGATGGTACATGCCTTGTTCTCCTCATTAGTGTTTATACGCTTTCTTTATGATGTTACCAGCTTCTTAACTCTCTTTTGTGTCCATCCACATTGATGAGCTTGAAATTTTAATAGATTCCAAATCCATAGTTATAGTTGCTGTGACCAAATCCGTGGTTTCTTGTTGCATTCGTAATCCAAAACAGGATTCCTTTTATGAATGTGGATTAGTTGATACCTGTGATGCTAAGTCAATGCATCTAACAAAATCTTCATCTATCAATAGGTTGTGGCATTTTTGGGATTACTAGTTTACAAGTTCTATGGGGAAGAACTACGTGAAATGTTTGGTTATGAGGAACATCCTTATGGGTTCTACACATTAGCGGGTAATCACGTCTTCCTCGCTTTCAATAGGCCAAGACCATCTTTGAGCTATGGGTCTTAATCCAATGAGTGTGTGATGGTCTGTTTCATGTTTTATGTTGCAGTTTTGGCTATTGTCCTGGTAGGACTACTTTACGGGTTCTTCATTGCCATTATATGTGGTCAAAGGATTAATGAGCGGCATTACCATGTTCTTGCCAAACAAGAACTCACAAAGGTCCGGTTTCTTTGCAGCTTCTCTGTTCTTTATTTATTTACCTTGATGGGTTATCTGATTGTACAAGCATTGTGTTTCTGTGTCGATCGTATCAGGAGTATATAGTGGAAGACCGAGAATGCAAGAATGTTCCTGAGCTTGACCAGAGTCATGTTATGGAACTTAGAATGTTGGGACTATATTGAACATAGATACGAGAAAAGAGCTTTTGCTGGATCTTCACTCTTCATTTAACCTGTAAATTATATACTCTTCATTGATTGATTTTCAAGGTTGTTTGAACGATTGTGTCATCTCAAAGTAATTTTTTGAAGGTTTTTTTCTTTATGACGAAACTCTGTCAAATCTGTACTAGTATAGACCTCAGAAGCAAATTGGTTTACAAAGTAATGTATTGATGATGATCATCTCTTTTTCTTCTTCGTCGAATTCATACGTATATCCCTAAAATCACCTCCTTCGGGACAGTTTCAACCATCCAGGGTGGCCTTTAAATCAGAAAAAAAAAAAATCATTATCAAACGAAACTAAAGGAAGTTAAAGAATGGATAAAGAATAAAATAAAGACGGCTCACTTGTTAAGTATGAAATTGAACGTTCCTTGTGATGCACGTCTAAGAAGAACTTCCCTTGCCTCTTCTGCGATCCCTTGAGGCTGCACCAAAACATCACACTTCATTGTAAACAAACGAACCTTGAGTTTGAAATGTGAATATACATATACAGAGAAAGAAAGAGTGAGACACCTCTTCTGGAAACCAAACCCCAGGTTGTGTGCTTCCTTCAAGCATTGCTAGAACAAAAGCGGCGGTTGAAACACCAACGGCTCTGTAAACCCAAAACATGTCAGTACTTATAGATAGCTCTATGAAGGCGCTTATCGCGTGTTTATATGTAAATGCAAATATAAGGAGACTCACACGGATAGTTTTTTATGACTATATAACCCAACTGTGGTTCGTCCATCTGAGCACTCCAAATCAACCTTGCGAAAGAGGTTTAGGATGAGAAAACAACGAGCGAGTAAGAGAATTAAACTACTGTAAATTATTTTGCAGTTCTCTGTTTTTTTCCCCCTACCCTCATCGAGACACGCTCTCCAGAAAAGCCATCCATGGCTCTAACGACAGGGTCGAACAGATCTACCATTTGTTGGACTTTGGTTCTGTCTCTAAGGACCTCCTAGAGAAAGCAATACAAGAATTGCAATTTGATTACAGGAAGATATAATTATCGTCTTGGTTGGATCATGTGACAATTGATTCAGGAAAGGTTTAAGAATGATACCGGTGGTAAGAGTTTTGTCATGATCTCCATTCCCCAGTTCCAGAAGAAAGGAGCGGTGCCGAATCTAGCACTGACAGTTGGCACTCCTAGAACTTCATGAGTTGATCTCACTTCTGGCAAATTCCTGCAAAGCAAGCACTGTTCTAAGCAAAAATATATCAATGGAGCTTTTTGATATGGAGGAGCGACTTACAAAAGGTAAACGTCTCTTTTCCGGATGCCTTTTCCGAAATCCACGTTTATCATTCCGCTGTAGGGTTTTAGTTTCACCTTCTCTCCTGATCAAGTCCCACAATACAAGGCTTAGAAAATTGCTAAAGAAATGAATGTTCATTAAATTTTTAAGAGGTTAAAGTCCTGTATAACACGTACCTTGTTTATATGCAGTAACTTCCTCACCTAGAAGTAGAAAACTCGTCGCTAATATCGTAGGACCTGCACCGCCAGTGCCTGCTGTGTAATAGGAGAACCTGATATGACGTTGTGAGAGGAGAAAAACTCTGATTAGACTATAATATAAATACAGTATGGTCGCAATATGAATACTATTGCTGCATTTACAATAAAAAAACATTTAGTAAAGTTCTTTGTGTTACCTCAGTTTCTCCGGCTTCCCCTTGTCTTCGAGTCTTGCTGCAGCGACCATTTCCGCCGCCATCACTGTTGAGATAATTAAACAAGCTGTTAAAATACTTGCGTCAGTGAAACTATGCCAAGCATAAAAAGCAAGAGGGACTTGTGCTCAGAGTTAACACCATTGCTAACTCCTGGATATATTCCAGCTGTAGTTATCGCTGGGATATTCGCAGCAACTGCCTCTGCCTGGAGAGATTTTGCTCGGAAAGCGTAGCTTGTGTCGTCACAAACATCCATATAAGCAGTCTGTTTTTCAGATATAAACAAAAGAACAAATCTCACGGTAAGAAGTTTCATCTCATAAGAGTCTAAAGCATTCATACAGACAAGATAAGAATCGGTGACATAGAAACTGTTTTTACCTTATCCTCACCTTGGTCTTAATGGCAGCTTCAAGAACAGTGCATCGAGGAGCTTGCTGGAAAGGTCCAGCAGCATGGACTACAAGATCAACGTCTGGAATCACACCATTTCACACGGTGAATACTCAAGAACAAACTTCATTAGCAGTGTAAAGCCAATCCTCAAATCCCCTCTATTAATAGCTAATATATAGTCCTAATTTGTCCCAATTCACATCGAAATTGCATATACGTAACACTGATATTTCTTTGGTAAATCGAAACAAACCTCTTAAAGTTGTCTCAAGCATCTTAGAGTCATTGATGTCAACTTGAGAAAACTCAGAATTCTCGCCTAATCTAGCCACCATTGCTTCACCTTTCTCTCTGCGGAGAGAGGATTCATCAGAGTGAAGCAGCAAATAGAAAACAGGTATCGACGAATTTCAACTTGTTCGATATTTTCCTCTGGAAAATAAAATAGAAATCCCTAACCTGTTCCGTCCAGCGACGACGATCCTTAGCTTGGGACATAGCATAGAAAGAGCAATTGCAGTAGACCCGCCGACCCGACCCGTTCCACCCAACACCAATACCCGATAGTTCCGGGTAGGATCCGAGAGCTTAACCTCCGGAACGCTGTCGTATCGCGTTTCGCTCGAAGAAGATGCTCGTACCGTCGTCGCTCTATACGACGGATGCAGCAGCAGAGCTCGCGCCATTTCTCTATCCTTTCCCTCACTCGCCTCTCATCTTCATTAGCAGTTTTATCGACGGAGGTGACGTGGCAACTGTAAGGTGCTTGATGACGTGTCATAATTTCAACGGGAAAGATAATACATATTTGGGCTGTTATGGGCCAAGTTGGTGAGTTACTGGGCCATAAAAAAATGCGTGGGTCTCAAAGAAGAAATAGATTATAGGTATTTCTTTTTGTTATTGTTTTTACAAAAAAAATTAAACGTGCATACATCAAGAAAAAATAAGGCATAAATAGCTTAAATTGAAACAATCAATTTTGTATCCAATTTCAGCTCTAAAAATTCATACAAAAGAAATGCAATCACATAAATGAGAAATTAAATAGATGATTAAAAGAAAAAAGTATATACAAAACGCCTCGGATCCACAGAGAGGAAAGAAAGCGTTGCGTCATCGAATGGTAAGCAGGTGACGTGTCATGTCACGTGACCACAATCACGTTCGAAATCCGAGACCAAAACGCGGAGAACCTCTAGGGTTAGAGTAGACGAAGTAGACCCCAACGAAGGGGTCAAAACGGTAAATATGTAGAAACCTGTGGGTCCTACTGTTGAGTGGCAGTGAGCTGTCAAACTGGGGAAGAGCGATTTTTTTCTCTTCTTTTTCTTCTTCTTCTTCTTCTCCCTTTTTTTTCTTGTTAAATGGCAACGTGCGTTTTCATGGGCTCTGACGCTGTTTGTCCCTCACCATTGTAGTTGATATTTTTAAATTTCCAACAACAAAAACATTTTTGCCTTAAGAAAAAACAAAAATGATAAAAAAAAACTATAATGTAAAATTAAAATTGCCAGCTTTTATGCGGCTGTTCGCCATATTCATACACCAAAGGACATTCGATACTATTGATAAATGCAGGAAATTTATATAGTACTAGTAATTTCTTATCTTTACAGACTTTTAAATTTTTACTCCTGCAGAATTTTCCCTTAAAAATTAGCTAAAATAACAACTCTGGCTTAAAAATGAATATTTAAATAAATTTAATTATAGACTAATTTTAGAAAATATTTTGGCTCTGCTATCATGTAAAATGAATTAAAAAAAATATTGGCGTTTTATGATGTTTGTAAAATGAAAAATTATTTCAATCATTGCTGTTTAAAATTAACAAAATTAGAAAACAGAACAAAAGTTTAAAACCTAATTAATTTTGTAAAGTATTTAAAAGAGCATTTAATTAATTTGTTGTTTTGGGTGGGGTTTGGTCATCATTTTCTAAAACTTTTAGTTTACGTTATATATATATAATGCTTCCGCCGCTTAATTTACAAACTAAGATCAACGGTTAAGTAATTTAAATAAATAATGAAATTGCAATAATGGCTGGCAGAAAATAATAATGCCAATGCGAAAAATCACATAATAGTGCCAAGTTGGCTAATGTAGGGCATGCAGCAAAAATGAGAAGAAAAGGCGAAAGTTACAATTCGGCCCCTACACATTTACTAGGGTATTGGACTAGATTTTGCCACGAGTCATTATCAATAATTTGCTCATGAAACTGTTTGTTACTCCTAATTAATTATTTGATGGTTAGAATTTTCCGAATTATAATAATTGGTCATTAGAGATTCCCAACGGCAAAAAGAGCACGCCGTTGAATATTTATTCAAAGGAGAGTAGGAGGAGAGTCTTAATAAATCGACCGGTCAAAGGTCAAACAGGCATTGCTTTTTTACTTTACTCGTGTATTTCATTTTTAAAATGATTTAATGAATGGGGAATTTAAAATGTAAGTAGTTACGTTTGGTATTTCCCTATTTGTGTAACTCACCTTAAAGTGCGATTAAAGAAAAAGATAGAGAAGACTGGGCACGACGGTAATATTATAGAAATAGAGGGTAAAAGTGGCAATCAACATGTTTTTTTCTTTCTTAGCGGTCGTATGTTATTCAATTTTTGGTGACCATATGATATAAGTAGTAAATACAACAATAATCGTTTCACTTATTTATTAAACTTGTAATTCCTTTTTTTGTTCATTGAAAGATATTTTTAGGTTGATAAAGAAGAGCAAGTTAAAAAAATATAGAAATTTCTGAAATAAACTACTTTGCCATTCACATAAAACTGTTTTTAAGGGTTTAATTCACATAAGTTATTTTAATCAGAATGTAACTAAAAATTATTAACATTGAATTTGAATGGTGGTAGTATATTATATATTTTCTTGAAATTGTTGAATAAAATATTTCTAAACTAAGTATTAAACAGACCAGGAAAAAAATACAATTGAGCAAATTTAATGGATTTTTGCGACATAAAAAATGGAAAAATGGTTAAGGAAAAAAAAAACGAAACCGTCGACATCCAAAAAGACGAGAGGGTATAATGTAATTACGCGAATATATATATTTGTGTGTATATATATATATATTCATCACTTCGCTTTCCAGCCCCTTCTCTCTCCTTCCGCTTTTGTCTCTGCCGAAATCCATAAATCTCTCTCTCTCTCTCTCTCTCTCTCTCTATTTATTGTTAGTATCACCGCCGGTAACAAACTCGAGTTTGACTCGTTTTGAACACCGCCGGAGATTATTGACGGAAACCACCATAGAATCGAGGCAGTTACTATACGGGTACATAAGTGACAGCTGAGCGAGAAAGGCGGGTTTGTCTGCGGAATAGGCGGCAATAGAAGTCGAGAGAGAAGGAAGACAAAGTTGATGATGATGGTGAAACAGATTCATTTGGGGTTTTCTGATAAGCGGTATTCACTACTCAACTCTTTATTGGAGTAGGCGCCGTCTTAGGTCTGTGAGGGAGAGAGAGAGAGAAGGGATTGTGTATTGTTTTGTTCTGTTTGGGTGGTGCTGTGATGGGGAAGGTCGCCGTTGCTTTTGCGGCGGCTGCGGTCGTGGCGGCTTGTTCTGTGGCGGCTGTAATGGTGGGAAGGAGAATGAAGAGTCGGAGGAAATGGAGGACCGTGGTGGAGATTTTGAAGGAGTTGGAGGACGCTTGTGATACTCCGGTGGGGAGGTTGAGGCAAGTGGTTGACGCTATGGCGGTGGAGATGCACGCTGGATTGGCTTCCGAAGGAGGCTCCAAGCTTAAAATGCTGCTCACTTTCGTCGACGATTTGCCCAAAGGGTAAGATTTTCTCTGATGGTTTGCTAATTAGATGATTTCTTCATTTCTGTGTTTCTTGGATTGGTGAACATTGATAAGAGTAATGTGTGAAGATGATCCTTCTTTCTGTTTGTAATCATGTTTGCTTTCTGATTTATGAAGATTCAGCTATGTCAGGCTAATTTTTTTCTCTGCATTGCATGATCCAAGTCCCTTAAGTTTGTTAATTTTTTTGTGAATTTGGAATCTTTTGTTGCTTGATTCATAAAGTGGAATTTCTAGTTCTAAAATGTGAGTAGTGAGTTCATTCATAGTCGTTGTGGCTCTAAAAGGTGAAGCTTTGTTTTAATGGTCATGACTTTGAGCTTTAGTTGGAGCTAAGGAATTAAAGAAGTGTCAGTGGGTACCATTTTACAGGGACAGATCCTTTGATTCTGTTCTCTCTCTCTTTTTTTTTTGTATGTGAAGTTTACATATGCTATAAAAGCTTGAAGGAGAGTTCTCCTTTTTATTTTTTTCTTATCTCTTACCTTTACTTTGGTATCTTGTTCCTATCCACTAGATTGCTACTGCTCAAGGAAAATGTACTAGTTTCTTCATATTGTAGCCTTGGATTCTCCCTTTATTGTTGCATGCGGGTCTCTTTCTATGTTCCTGAGAAATTCATTGACGAAGCTTCCACGATATATCTTTTCTGCTTTTTATTTCAGGACGGAGAAAGGAACTTATTATGCGCTTCACCTTGGAGGCACATATTTTAGGATTTTAAGGGTTCATCTGGGTGGTCAAAGGTCTTATCTAGACGTTCAAGATGTTGAACGACACCCTATACCTTCACATTTGATGAATAGCACCAGCGAGGTGACTAGTTCGCTTTTTTATTTCTCAATCAATCCTTGCTTGTTATATACTATAATGGAAATTGCCTAATGCAGTGTCTGTTGTTCTTTTGTTCACATGATTGCAGGTTCTTTTCAATTTTCTCGCCTTTTCCTTGGAAAGGTTTATCGAAAAAGAAGGAAATGGGTCCAATTCTCAAGGTGTTAAAAGGGAACTTGCCTTTACGTTTTCGTTCCCAGTCAAGCATACTTCTATATCTTCAGGAGTTCTAATCAAATGGACCAAAGGTTTTGAGATTAGTGAAATGGTTAGTAAAATGATGCTTACATTACTTCTTATATTCTGTGCAACCCTTGGCTCTTCTTTCAGATATTGTTTGCTACTCTTTAAAATAGTTCTTAGGCTGTATTATTTCCTTTCAACTCATACTAGTTTGACAGAACCACTTTTTCTACTATCAAAATATTACCTGATATCTCTCGAAAACACTATTCAGTTAATAGGATTGGCTGATTGATGATTTTGTGACAATGTAATCCATCTCTTGGTATTCGGTGGGAGTTTAAGATAGTAAATTCAAGGTTATTTTGTCATATAACAATGCATACATTATTATTCTAGGTTGGGAAAGACATAGCTGAATGTCTACAAGGAGCGCTGAACAGAAGAGGCCTTGATATGCATGTTGCGGCTCTTGTAAGTTCTTTGTCACTGTAACAGGCTCATTTCATTGGCAAAATACGGCACATCAACTGAAATTTCTTTGATCTTCCTCCTTTGTTACCTACCCTTTTATAAACTTTTGATGCCTCAGCTAAACTATTGAGAAAATTTATCTATGTATCTGTTAGAAAATTTCAGGAAATGATTCTAAATGAAGTTTCCTCCTTTGAGCAGGTGAATGATACTGTTGGAGCCTTGTCACTTGGATATTATCATGATCCAGACACGGTTGTTGCAGTTGTATTTGGAACAGGTAGTAATGCATGCTACTTAGAACGAACCGACGCCATAATCAAGTGTCAGGGTCTGCTTACAACTTCTGGAAGCATGGTACTAAGAATTATCTCATTCTCTATTCTGAATCATGCTTTAGATTCCAGAAATATTAATGCAACCGATTCATTCTTTCTCATGTTTCAGGTGGTCAATATGGAGTGGGGAAATTTTTGGTCCTCACATCTGCCTAGAACTTCATATGACATTGACTTGGATGCAGAGAGTTCAAATTCCAACGATATGGTAGTTTCTGCCTAACTTCCATCTTTTCCCGTTTTGTATTGCATCATAAGCTATTATCAGGTGAAGAACAAGCAGTGAGATCTAATATCTTTTGGGTTTTTCTTATATAGGGATTTGAAAAGATGATAGCAGGAATGTATCTGGGTGACATCGTTCGTAGAGTAATTCTTCGCATGTCGCAAGAATCTGATATCTTTGGACCCTCCTCGTCTTTGTTATCTGAGCCTTACGTTCTAAGGTACATATCCTCTTAATCTATTGCTGGAAATCTGATTATTATTTTAATTAAATGGTTGACCGTGTATACTCCAATTTCTCAGAACAAATTCAGTCTCAGCTATGCATGAAGATGACACACCCGAGTTGCAAGAAGTAGCAAGAATCTTGAAAGACTTAGGGGTAAGTTGAAAATCTCACTATCACTGCACTTGTTTATGGAACTTGGAAGGGAATGTTATATGGAACTTGAAGAAGCTTCTCTTGCATGTAAAATGAACAATCAGGTATCAGATGTACCATTGAAGGTGAGAAAACTAGTAGTGAAAGTATGCGACGTGGTGACACGAAGAGCGGGGAGGCTTGCAGCAGCGGGAATTGCCGGAATCTTGAAGAAGATAGGTCGAGATGGAAGCGGAGGGATCACGAGCGGGAGAAGCAGAAACGAAGTCCTAATGCAGAAAAGAACAGTCGTTGCAGTGGAAGGAGGCTTGTACATGAATTACACCATGTTTAGAGAATACATGGAAGAAGCTCTCGTTGAGATATTAGGAGAAGAAGTGAGTCAATACGTCGTCGTTAAAGCCATGGAAGATGGTTCTAGCATTGGCTCTGCTCTTCTCGTCGCCTCTTTACAGTCATGAGTCGCCGTCATCATCATCATCATTTTCATCGTCGTCGCCGTTCGTATTAATGTTTATATAATTGGTTTATCTGCGTCTATGTGTGTGTGTATATATATATTTATTCAATATTTCTTTGTTGTTCATTATTATTGTTATATAGACGCATATATATAGCTTGTGTAAATGTTTAGGAAGGTTTTATCTATTCTTTGTTTCTTCTATATTCTTATGAGTGTATGGGAAAATAGGTATTGGTTTCTTAAGAAAAAGATTCAGACTATGTATGTAAATGTGATGATGATGATAAATGGAATTTGCAATTTTATTCTTTTCTCTTTCTCCTTGGCTTGTATAGAAAATCGTTTGTTAAGCTGATAAAAGAATGAAGAAAATTATATCTTTGTAGCAAGTTTTTCCAAATAAATTTGTAAGCATTTGCATTGCATAGCAAAAATATATGGCATAATTAGCCAAATGACAAAATATTCTACACAAAATTGTCATCAAAATTGGTGCTTTCACTAACAGCCAAACAAAAGGCATATCCCTTTAGCAACCGAGTTATTCTATTGTCACAGTTGTTCAACTTACTAAGCTATTGGATGCAATCCTAAGTCGCTCTCCTGCAATTTTCATCATATGCTTACCTTCTACAGTCAAGCTCGAGGACTGCCAAAAATTAAGAGGTTTTTCTCAATCAGCGGATTTACAGTTGTGCAAATATAATATAACGTTAGGAGAGAGTAGAAAGGAAAAAAAAAAATCAAATGATCACCTGCAACGAGATAACGTTGTGAAGAATCAAATCGATCTCTGACTTGAATGATGATATTATCTTCCTAGCTTTGACGTCGTTGTGCATCAGCAGGACCACAGAGACAATGCATTGTATCAAATTCAACGAGTTTCGACTGCTCCCCCTGTCTTGTTGGGGCGATGATTCCAGCATCGCTTTAGTGTTTTCACTAACCATGAATCGCAGTCTTTTCAGAACCTCTTGCGTGAGTTTGGAGCTCCGGTCAAACAGGAAAAAGCAAGGTACTAAATAGTAGAGACATGTTTGTATGTAAATGTAAGAAGACTTCTCCTTATCTTCTTCTGGTATACACTGGCAAGAAGAGATGTGTCAAATCCCAAAAAGATTAAAATATAAAACATTTTAGGAAACGGAAAGTAAGTGCTCACATTGACTATGTCGATCAAATATCCCGGTAAGAATTCACTTAAAGTGGTCACACTGCTTTCAGAAAGTCTGGTATGTTTAGAGTCCAGCTCGCAGATCATCCTGAGTATGCCACACCCATTGTCCAAAGCAGGCTTCAAAATCTGCACCCATTAAGTATTTGCCATCCTAATTAACTATATGAGCCCTTGTATCATTAGACAGTAAAGTGTAATTATCAAAAACCACAAAAACTTACTATTTGTTCGACAAAAGCTTTCTCTAGAGTCTGGAGGACAAGAGAGCTATCACCCATTTCTGACAAACGTGAGCACACAAGGTTTGTAAGTGCTTTAAATGTTTCTCGCCTCGCCGGCTCTGCAATGAACATAAAGCCATAATAATAAGGTAAAAAAAGCTATCACAAAGCATTGATCATTGAAAAACTTGAAGATTCGAGACAAGAACCTCCTGGGACAACTCTGAAACGTGCAATTAAGGTAATCAAGAAGCTAAGATGATCTGTGATCGGGATGTATCCATATCTATAGGCAGAGTGTAGAACTTCCACTATCCGATACGACACATCTGGTTCAAGTTGTTGATCTGCAAAATACGGTTGATACCCTTTTTTAGGTCATTCAACTTTTATAAGTTGAGTCATCAGGAAAGGGAAGAAATGTGAGATGTACTCACATAAACAGCATGAAACCATTGCTCTCAGCATAGGGGAGCTGAAATTGTCTTTGATGAAGTAGTAAAGGAAACTGAGAGCCAGATCTTGGACTTCCTTAGGGAGACTTGCAAAAGGTCCACCAGGCACATCACCTGTAACAATGACGATAACCGATTTTTAGTTTTAGTGACACTAAGAAAGAATTTCATAACACAGATTTTCTGTTTTGCAGCACCTTCTCCCTGATAAGGGTTGAAGAAGTTTCTGATGTCTTCTTCAAATGTGGGGGAAGTATTCTTCAGACACCCAACTTTCCCAAGGTCGAGCAAAAGTTGCAAAACAACCTAAGGTTAAATTTTTTTTACAAAAACGGTAAACATGAGCCTACTTGATCAAAAATGAGTCCATGCACTAAGGATCTTTGCTGGATTGACAGTAGAACTGTATGAGTCATGTGTTAGCACCTGTGTAGATACTGGATACTTATCACCCAACTGATTAAGCAGTGTTGGAAGTTGGTTGACCCAAGCACGCTGGTAGTTACTTACGGTTGGATCATTGGGATAAAGGATATCTCCATTCTGCAGATATGACAAGAAAACAGAATTTAGTTTTCATCAATGTGCGTGGAGAGTTAAGACTGAACATATCATGCAAAAAGTTTACTTACAGGGATAATGAGGTCTCTAACAGTTGAAATGCAGGCTAATTTAAGTGGAGACTCTGGTTTGCAATCGCTTAAGGTAATAGTAAACGCCTGAATAAAGTATATAAACAATCATCATATATACATCCATACATGAAGTTACTGCTAGCTATCAAAGGCACTAATAAAGTATAGACGAACCTGCATAAGATTATCTCTCCGATCACGCTCCACCCTCAAAGTAAGTTTTGGAACAAAAGGCACGAGTGCAAGTAAAGTCTTTTCGTGAATAGGTTTACTAATGCTCCTGGTGATCTGCAAAAGTACATGTTCGCAAGGAAATAAGCAGCATACAATGTAGACAGAGGGAGGGAACAATCCAAAAATATTCAATGAAAACTAATCAGCTTGAGATTTATAGTAACGAGAGCTAACCTTGCCTATTAGGGTATTCTCAATAAATTCCAGAAATCTATAGGAAAGATCACAAGGAAGGTGGCTCCATTCATTTACTTCCAAAAAGATTTCTGTCAGTAGACCGTTGAGGATAAAGTAGCTTTCATCATTCTGTCAACAAAACAATCAACTAAGTGCTTAGCAAGTTCTCTGTAATAATAACAATAAACAATGCATAACACATAATCATTAGGGAGATTACAAACAAACAATGGCAGGGAGAATAATAAAGATAACCACAAAATTACTACTAAACATAAAATGTGATGATTCATACCCTTTTAGAAAGGTTGTTTCCGGGATTAAGGGGAAAAGAACTAAGTAACTTCTTTGATAACAATGATACAATGTCCTGATCCAGTTTCAACAGAGCAACTTCTTCAAATGCAGTCTGTCTTTGAGTGTGGCTACGAATAGAAAACTTGATTGCATAACATATGCTGCGAAGCATATGGTGCACGCAATCAATTAATGACCGTGCATCTAATCCTCGCGAAGCATGAATCAGTGGAATGAATTCTTGGAAACAATTGATCAAGGCTCCAACGATCTCTTTCAATCTCCCAGAGAAATGGGCAAAACCTATAAGAACCCGTGAAAATATATTTAAGAAAAGATGATACGAGCCATACCAATAACCTATTGATGAGAAAAAAAGAAGACAGATGGCACATACGAACAAATTCTTTTGCAGTATCTTGCTCAAAGGCAAGTAGCGTTTCATTCTGTAAAAGTCCCTACAAAAGGGCACACAGAAACAGTTTTGAATAGAGAAAACAGAGCACATTCCCACAGTGGTTCAAAGACATCTTCTTAGTAAATATATTCAATCTTGTAACAAGCGAGAGACCAAAACCCAAAAACATTGGTAATGCTACTTGGTGAAAATGATTTTAGATACCTTATTCTCATCACGTTGACGTGGCAACAGCGAGAGGCAATGTGTCAGCCCGGAAAGAGCTGCCTTTAGATTGCTTTGATCTTGCACATAAAGATGGTTTCTCTGAATAATGAGATCCTTGTAGTTTTCGAGAATCTGCATCAAGTAGCAGATGGACATTTCATGCAAGGTGAGAAAAAGAAACATATATAAAGTTAGAGGCAAAAGCTGGAAACTCTGTAATAATAATCAAAGTAGACACACCTTTTCAGCATACAAGGAAAAGGTAGGCGGGAAGTACTCCACAACAAGGTGGAGAAAATAGAAAGACATCAAACGAACATCGATCGATGTATTAGCCATAGCCAGAAATATGGATGGCATCAGAAGTGACACCATAAGGTTATCCTGAATAAATTCACAAACTGTTTAGACACAACAGTTGTTTAACTAGAACTATTACAAAACACGCGAGTCTGACGAGAGCAAGAGGCTAGAAACCATTATAAATTCCAAATTCACAAGTGGGAAAAGAAGACATACTTCTTTACAAGCAGGAAAGATCCGAGTTTGAAATAGTTTATAAAAAGCTTTTCTCACTTCATCATCACCATCACTAATGCGTAGTATAAGTGTCTTTATGCTATCATATTTATGTGACTGCAGCTCTGCAGGATGACTCTTGAAAAATTCTTTGATACCAAGTAATGCATCTACACAGACACAAAACCAAAATTGATCACATCTTCCTCAACCAAAAACATTTAACTAAACATGAGAACAAAGAAAGGAACGTACCTTTGCGAAGGTTAGCGTTGTGATGAACACTTTTACCTAGAAGCTCCTTCAAGGTCAAGTTTTTCTTACTTGTAGCAAAGCCAGTCTTTTCTGCTACCGCACTTTGCTCCCGAAGTATAATTGCTGCAAATAGGTAAATTTTGAGCTAGCAAGGGAAACAAACTAAAAGTTTGAATTTGCAGGAGAAAGCAGATGTATGTACCTTTGAATTTAATCTCTGTGTTAGTTGCATTCTTTGGTGGAGGTAATTTTCTCCCGAGCTTTCTCTTGATTTTCTGCAAAATAGAAACCAACCGAACAATTATTCATCAAAAAACTGAAGATTCATCAGAAAAAAAAGAGACGATGTTAAAACCCCCAAAATCAATGAACCTTGAAATCAATTTGCTGCTTCTTTGCAGGAGCTTTGGAGCGAGCCATTTGTTTATCTTCTTCAGCTTCGTACAACCACCACTATCAACTCAAATTAGCTCCTTTCTGAAAGCTGCGGAGGAAACTCCGGCAGCAGATTTTTAAGATTTTGACGGAGGAAAAAGGAGAGATGGGAGAAATTGCAAAGAGTACTCTGGGTTTTAGACAGTGTATGAGCAAGCAAACAAGACGGCGATGATGGACGGTGAAGAAGGAAAACGGCGACTACGGCGGCTTCTGGATGGTTTTTGAGAGAGAGATAAAAAGGGAAGGTGTTTCGGATCGGGCCGCTGCGAGACGAGTCGGATTTTGTTGGGCCATGAAGTTAGCCTTTTATTGGGTCGAATTTTTGGGCCATGAAGTTAACCTTTTATTGGGTCGGATTTTAATCGATTGTTGTTTTCGTTTGCAAGTTTCGTAAAACCACAATCAGCTCAAATTAGCTCCTTCGGCAGCAGATTTTTAAGATTTTAACGGAGGAAAAAGGAGAGATGGGAGAAATTGCAAAGAGTACTCTGGGTTTTAGACAATTTATGAGCAAGCTAACAAGACGGCGATGATGGACGGTGAAGAAGGAAAACGGCGACTACGGCGGCTTCTGGATGGTTTTCGAGAGAGAGATAAAAGGGAAAGGTGTTTCGGATCGGGCCGTTACGAGGCGGGTTGGATTTTATTGGGCCATGAAGTTAACCTTTTATTGGGTCGGATTTTAAACGTTTCGGGATTCTTCTGATGAGTTTGATTTCATTTGCTCGAATTGGTTTTTTACTTGTAGCAAATTTCTAACTAATTTGTGATAGTTTGCGATAAATTTTAAAATGTCTCTAATTTGTGTTATTTCAAAATAATATTATATTTGTATCTAAAAATTGTAACAAAAGAATTTGCGAATCAAAAATAGACACATTTTTCCCCCTTTATAACAATTTGAATAAATATCATTAGTACTTTAATAAATTGTGTTATTTCAAAATTTATAGTTGCATCTTTTTATTATAAATGGTTATATATTTCATCACAATTATAATTTGTGTCTTTTCAAAATTATTTATATTTTTCAAAACACAGAAAAAAAATTATTTTGGTCTATCTTTTATTTTCTTACTATAATAATTTATTCTTACAGTAAACTATGAAATAATGAAACTTTTTAATGCCGCTGAGAAAAACGCGATTATGGCTTTTTAAGCTTCAATAAGAGATTAAAAGGGAATGTGTTTTATATCGCGTCCTTGCGAAGCATATGAGATTTTTAATTGGGATATGAATATTAGGTTTTATTTGGTCATCATCTTAAAAACATATTAAGATGATGATCCAATAAACTTAAAACACCAAAATTTTCTAAATAGTTGTAAATATATCACAAAAACTAATATTCAATTTTTTTTTAAAAAAATTATATTCATATATTTTATATTAAATTTCTTAATCTAATGAACTTGGATGGTTTGCTAGTATGATATACTTTATCCCACTGGTAGTTACTTTTAGGGATTTAATCCAATCCATGATTTACGGCTAAGCTATAGTAACATGCGTTTTTATATCAAAAGAGGCTTTATCAGGATTAAATGTTGTGATACAGTAGCCAAATGCTTTGCAGTCTGAAAATGACATGGCATATGATAGTGATGTATATGCAGTTGGAAAGATCTGCCAATTTCACTGTGACAATGTCATTTCTTCTCAGATAGCTTTATGACAGTAATATGATTTTGCCATCTTTAGCTGCTTAATCCGCACGAATACATGTGGTTGCTTTTGATGATCAAGTTAACTTTTTAGGTTATATTAGGTACTTGCTGCATGGTTAAAGTAATGATGTCATTGAAGCCAAAATGGTTCATAATCAGCAGCTGAGAGGTAAGCAATGAGTGACCCTTAAACCTTCCATCCATTCCTTGTAAAGTTAATTGTTGGGGGGGGGGGGGGGGGGGGGGGCTATGAAGAAAAAAATTACGGGGTCCTAGTATTTATAGGAGGTATTCACAGTTTTTCGCATTGACTTTACTTCTTACTTTAACATGATAAATACGGAGGTATTCATATTTTTTCTCAGTTTTATAGATACAAGGAAAACGTAGGCGGGTAGTGATAGGGCTCAGGTTTTACCCAAATAAAACTACTGCAAGTGCACAGCAAAATAGTTGTAGTACAAGAGGTTATCGAATCCCAAGGGAGTAAGTAAATTACACTAAAGAGTTCAGGTTCGGATTAAGCTAAGCAATAAGTAACGAATATAATGTGAAACAGTAAAATACATGCAAGTGGGCGTTTTATGCTTGTTCTTAAAGTTCAGAAAGCTAAAAGCGCTAAGTCATGACAATTTGCAAGTTGAATCCGAGAGTGTAGAATGCATGTAATCAGAAATGAATCAAAACCGTATTGAACATGAATCGCAAAAGTATAACTAATCAATTCTCATTGCAGAAGTTAACTATGCCTAAATCACAGAGTTTCAAATCTCTTTGCAAACCCTAACAACCGAAACATGCAGTAATGATCAGGTTCAATTGTTCACAAAACTCCTAAGCCACATCTCTTTGCACTAGGGCATTTTGCTCATATAATACTAGTTCAGGTGATTAATAATGCTCTCACATCTATCAAACAACCTAGGGGTTCAAAATCCAGATGATGTGTCTAAGAAATCGATTTTTAATGCAAGCACAGATGAAGAACCAATGAATTTCCTATAAGTTTAGCAATTCTACAAACTCTTCTTCAACCTTTGAAAAGCCCTAACTTAACTAACAAACTACTCAGACATGGTGAATGAAACAAACATCATAAAAATAATAGATTGCATAAAGAAATAAGAAATAGAAGTAAAGGAGTTCGAAATCTGCTCTGAAAGAGTCTGATTTGTCTCTCTAAAAACTCTGCTACAAATCTCTCTCTAAAGCTCTCAAAAAGATTAAAATACAAGATATATGGCAAAAGAATGGCTGAAAAACCTAATATACAAGCTGAAACACGATCTGGGCCTTTTTGCAAATACTAGAACTTCTGGGCCAAAACTGTAAATAATCTTTAAACTTTTAATAAAACAGCCACGCTCCTTCCTTTATGGGTGACGAGCATCACCATAAGTGGTGACGAGCATCACCCAAATCCATACTTTTCTTCTCAAGCTGCATACTTCGTGGCTTCATCTTGAAATGCTCCAAAATGCTTCAATATCTCCAATTAAGCTACATACATGCTATAACCTGCAAAGACTCTACTAGGACTCTAAAAAGACCAAAAAGACTCAATAAAAAGGACTTATACCATGGTTAAAAACCATGATATATCAACTCCCTTAAACTTAGCTTTTGCTTGCCTTCAAGCAAACATCAGATAGAGAACAGTGTCGAGGTTTGAAAACAAGAAACAGTCAGCTAAACATCAGGAACACCACATTAGTTAACACTTTCAAATCCACATACCACATAGTCAACACAAGATCAAATTTCAGTCTAATCATCACAAGCTTAGCAAATCTCTCATATCCAATCCAAATCCCTTCAAGAAATCCGAAATCTCTACTGCTAACTCCTTATTTTTATCTAAGTGTGAAATCTCATCAAGGTTTTATCATCTCAATTAGTTACAGATTCTTTTCCCTTCCTAAACAACTGAACAAAGCAATCTCAACATGGCTCTCCTATTTTCTCTTCCTTTGATCTTTTTCATTCTGATTTTTTTTTTGATTTTTCAACTCTTTTCTCATTTTTTACAGTCTAAGATATGGTGCTACTCATTACTTGTGTTTCTTGTGAGGAGACATGTTCTTGAGTGTGTTCATTACTGTTGTTCCTTGTGAGGAGACAGGGTCATGAATGCACTTTTGACTTAAACTCTTAAAAACTACATCAGGGAAGATCAAAGAGACACTGTGTAGCATCCGTATCCGAGAAAATGCGGACTGATCGTACAGGACAGGAGGTTGTCCGAGGAATGACCGAGCCAAGGGTCGGATATTGGCTGGGAAAGGGAAGGTTCGGACTATGGTCGGGTGTGGACCGGTGAAATAGTCGGACATAGGCTGGATAGCCGAGCCGGATGGACCATATCCGAGGGAAATGGAGTCCAGTCCGAGGGAAATGGGATTTATCCGAGTGAAGTAGGATATATCCGAGAGTCTGGGAGGTTAGTCCGAGTGTCAGTGGACTGTCTCCGAGGGGGAATAGGAAACCTCCGAGGGAAGAAGAGGATTAGCCGAGGAAGGACAAGTGGTCCGAAGGGAATAGGAAATCCGGATGAAAAATGGAAAACACCTCGGATAAGGGCGGTTTATCCGAGTGGGAAGGGATTTGGACCGTGGGCCAAGTGTTTGGTCGGCTATTTTGGGGTTTATCGAAGGATGAGTCGAGCCGGTACAGGGAATAGCCGAGAGAATCGAATCGGACCGGGATAAAGTTTACTGGAACCAGGAAAACGTCGGATAAGTCCGGGTTACCTAGGGTTTTGCGAGTATATAAGGGGATTTGAGACTTAACTCGAGGGTTTTGCATTTATTCGAGAGCAATAAAGCAAAGAAAGAGTTTAGTCAAGAGAAAACCCTAAGAAAAACATACTATCCCGAGGACATCCGAGAGAGATCAAGCTATCGCCGAGCTAATCCGACCATCGCCGAGATAAACTTGTAAGCGATCGGATATTTCCCTAAGTGTTAGGATTTCATCGGATAACCTCGAGCTAATAGCCTTGTTTTGTGGGGTTTCTGAGGGAAAACAGAGTTTGGCTCGAAGAAAGGTGAACGGATCAAGAGATAGCCAAGGGGATAAGGATCGGATCGTACCGTGAGCCGAGAGATTCTTAGGGAGATCGGATATCTTTGATTTGAAGCGGTTTTCATTGGGATTTCTTCTTACCAATCTGTTTCTAGCCTTGTCTAAGGTGAGTGCGCGACTGTGGTTAGGCTTAGACCGTAGAATGACTAGGGTTGAATGTTTTACATGCTTGATTGATGATTTTCATGTTATGTGTGGTTATATGTATAAACGGTTAAGTGTTGTGATATGTTAGGATGTTTACCGAGGCATATATGATGTTTAGCTAACCTCAGGGTAATCCGGATCATGTACTAGCTTAGGGGATGTGGGATTCTCGCTGAAGTAGACATGGGTCTTAAAAAGGGATTGATCTTGGTTGGTTAGGCTAGATGATCAGGGGCCGTTTGATAGTGATGTGTTTATTGTGAATTGATTGCGTGAATGTTGAATCCGAAAGTTTACTGCGTGTTTTGGTACTGACCAGGTGTTACGGGATGACCGTATTCACTAAGTA